AGGTTTCTCACCTGTGTGAGATCTCATGTGTTGAACTAAATGAGATCTAGTCAAACAATTTTTCCACAAGTGCACAGGAACCTTCTCACCCGTGTGACATCTCATGTGAACAGTTAAGCTGTCCTTTCGAGTGAAACTTTTTCCACAGTTCTCACATGAGAAAGGTTTCTCACCTGTGTGAGATCTGATGTGTTGAACTAATGAGATCTAGTCAAACAATTTTTCCACAAGTGCCACAATGAGAACCTTCTCACCCGTGTGACATCTCATGTGAACAGTTAAACTTTGCTTTCGAGTGAACTTTTTCCCACAGGTCTCACAAGAGAAGATTTCTCCACCTGTATGAATCTAATATGAGCAGTAAATGAGATTTAAACAAAAACTTTTCCCACAGTTGTGCGGTGTAAGGTTTTTCACCGAGTGAATTCTCTTGTGTCTGTTTAAACGACTCGTTTAGACGGAAACTTTTCCACAGCTGGACATGAATGGTTTTTTAGCCATGTGAGTTTTCTTGTGATTCATCAAGGAATTATTTCGAGAAAAGGTTCATCACAAATTTTACAAGAATATAGATTTTGGTCTGGTTGAGCTTTCATGTGCGTTTCTTGTTCTGAAGTCTCTGTTGAGTTTTTCTGCTGTTTGTTCAAATGTCATCAGTTTCCTGTTTCAGCACAAGATGCTCTTCATCCTGACTGATGGAAAGTTGCTCCTCTTCCTCTTGATCTGCAGAGGTTCTGCTCTTGATCCAGTTTCATCTGCAGAGGTTCTGGTTCCTCTTGTTCCAGTTTCATCTGCAGAGGTTCTGGTTCCTCTTGTTCTAGTTTCATCTGCAGAGGTTCTGGTTCCTCTTGATCCCATTTTATCTGCAGAGGTTCTGGTTCCTCTTGTTCCAGTTTCATCTGCAGAGGTTCTGGTTCCTCTTGTTCTAGTTTCATCTGCAGAGGTTCTGGTTCCTCTGTTCCCGTTTTATCTGCAGAGAGTTTCTGGTTCCTCTTGTTCTAGTTCATCTGCAGAGGTTCTGGTTCCTCTTGTTCCGTTTCATCTGCAGAGGTTCTGGTTCCTCTTGTTCCAGTTTATCTGCAGAGGTTCTGGTTCCTCTTGATCCTTTCATCTGCAGAGATCTGGTTCTCTTGATCCAGTTTCATCTGCAGAGGTTCTGGTTCCTCTTGTTCCAGTTTCATCTGCAGAGGATCTGGTTCTTCTTGATCCAGTTTCATCTGCAGAGGTTCTGGTTCCTCTTGTTCCAGTTTTATCTGCAGAGGTTCTGGATGATCTGATCTGAAGTGAAGTTTCTCTCTGGGTTTCTGAGCTCATTTAGATCTCCTCCTCTTTGCACACACTGCATTGTGGGAAATCTGGAAAAAAAAGTCAAAATGTGAGGTCACACAATGAACCCTTTAATTAAAACTAAATGAAAATATTCTTCATCAGGGGGCGGCTGTAGTAGCGCAACCCACGTTTGGAGGCCTTCAGTCCTCACACGCCGTCACGGGTTTGATTTCCGGACCAGACGATATTTGCCGCATGTCTTTCCTTACTACATTCCTGTCAGCCTTCTTTCTTATAAGGGACACTAGAGCCCACAGAAACCCCCAGGAGAGGAAAATCTAATTATCAGCAAAACATTACAAAATGAAATCTCTTCCATCGTCTTTCAGAGAGATTGTTATTTACCTTATTTAGAATAAACAATGTCTGCATGTGGTTAATAATTTTACCAGCAATTAAACTTTAGTGCCGTCAAATGTGCAACATTTGGAAATATGCAGTCTGCTAGCTGACGTTACTCCCCTTCAAGATTCGCTTCTCGCCAACAGGGACGTTACACCATATTCTGTGACCACGCACATTGTGACTGTAGGAGGCGCTGTTGCAGGTTTACATCATACTTTGCTATTCTTATGGACACAGAATATGATGGCGCTTATCAAATAATGGTCCCACACTGTAACTTACAGTAAAGTACTAAATTTTAAATGAACCATCTCTATTAACTCTGCTTGCTAAGTCAATATCTGACCATTAGTCTTATGACATTTCTTTTTAGTTAAATGAAACGGCCCTTTAAATAGCTTTACATAGTGTTATAGTCAAGACCATCTAAGCAGAGACCAAGACCAGCCGCCACATAAGAATAAATGTGAAATATTAGCAAAAAGTGCTAATCAAATGGTCTGAAAGATCCACATTCCCATAAAAGCAAATCAATTTAACCAATATTAGCAATTCAACTCTTTGTTCTACTTTGCTCTGTGCTACAATCCATGGAAGTCTCATGCCAACCCTAAAAGATAACACCCTGGGCGGTTGCCCATATTGCTCATATCAGAAACCACCACTGTCTGCACTATTAAACATAGCAATTAAGGCAATGCACTAGTGGTAAACAACGCTCCATCATGAACACAGACCAAGGAGCAACAAGCAGAAATAACCAAACACTGTGACAGTTCTCACTTTTTCTCCTGCTACATGAAGCCAGGCAAGCACAGAACTATCACAGAGCAATGAGCATGCTCTGTGTGCTCTGGTTTTATTGATTCACCAATTAAATTAATATCAATGTATACAATCAATTAAAATAATGACAGCTACTGCAGCTGTTCATACCTATCCGCTGCAAGATGATCTTGGGTATCCGGGTAAAATCATCAGTCTGCGCTGATCGTCCATCTCTTCCTCCATCTTAACGTTGATTTCTTTCCACTCTGTGAATGTTTCTTCAGCAGGAGTTTCCTGCTGCTTGATAAACTCTCTGAGGCTGAACTGAAGACATTTTTCCATTAAACACAGAAACATTTAACTAAACTGCAAAACAGTCTTCAAGAGGAAAAGTAAAGCCAGACATTTGCTCTGTTTTTTATGTTTCATGTGTTTCACTGTTGCTGTGCTGAAGAACCTGGAAGTGATTATTAGTTTGGCTTTAAATTTTCTGCTGAGTCTCTTCTTTTAAAATCCTGGAGGCTGATGCCCTGAAACCTTTAGCTGAGCCTCTGCTGCACCACCTGAATAGAGTAATTAGTCATTAAGGCTCTGCAGATCTGATCCACACAAGGAGGAGGTAATTATGGTGATTTCATTGCAGTGTTTTGTACCTGTGGCTCATCTAAACACTGCAGGTCACCTTGAGGACTGGAGTTTGACACCTGTGGTTTAGTTACAATAGATCAGTCTGGAGAAAACACTGATGATGTTTTGTTGTTCTTGCAATAACTAATAAAATCCTGATTCTGTGAAAGTCACATATATATTTTCTATTTTCATAAAGATATTTCAGATAAGTATGAAGTTAACCAGGATGCTTTTATTTTTCTGTTGGTTTAAATTTAAAGCCTTTAGTTAATATTTAGAGGTAGATTTATTTAACCTTCCTAATTTTACTTTAATAAATTGCTGCACTTTTAGCTGCTATTCAATCTGCCAGGTTTCTGCAACCTGGATCTCTGGAGACTCAGTGGCTCTTTGGCTCATTTATTATATGAAATTATAAAATATTGATCTGTCGTTTTGTTTCATTCTTTTTTAAGTTTCGTCATGAACCGATCACATTGGCCCTTGTGGTAAATTTGTCTCTAAACCAAACTCCTTATTGGTCATCTATTTTCAGAAATTCTCTTTAAATACCAGAATATTCACATAACTGTTATACTTTTGTCATCTGAGGAGACACTGAATATTGAATTAGTGTTATGATCAGTTACTCAGTAATTCACCAAATACTTCAAAAGAAAATACAGAGGAAGAACATTGTTCCAGCAGGAATATTAAATAAATAGAATGATAAACCCTGACCTTTACTATTATATAAGATCAAAATATAGTTTATGTTCCATGACTCCTTCACTTCTAACTCACCAGTTTAAGTACTGAAGGTTGCTTAAAATGATTAATTGTACTTGCTTTGAATTTTAAAGTTTTGATTATTTAGGTTCATTCTTTGTTAAATTATGGCTCATTTTGTTTTATCTCTTATTAGTATAAATATAGAACTCAGTCTGTTAAGTGTTGAATGAAAAGAATATCGACTTTATTAGAATGTATGCAACGTTGAGGAAGAGATGATCTCTGTGGACTGCTGCTGTTTATGTATATGAAGGTTTTCCTGATTTACTTTTTGTTTTAAACAGGTTTTATTCCAGCCTCTATAATTATGTAAATCTAGTCTTTCACACAGTTTTCTACTAAACAGAAAAAAAGAAAAGATCATCATTATAATAGTTTATTTTCTAAAATTATATAAATAGTTTCAATCTGAAATTCAATTCATATCATCAATACATTTTCTAAGCAGGAAAATTATTAAAACCATGTCAAAGAAATGCATCCATTTCTCCAAATCATTGAAATAAAATAAATTAGTACAAAGGATAAAACACAATAAAGTTTCCAACAATTTAGAAGTCTAACTCTCAAATCATTTAAAGTCATCGTTTCTTTAGAGACAATCTCTCCCTCAGTCTGATTAAATAAAATAGAAATATAAAACTGCCAGAATAAAATCCAAGTCGGTTGCAATTACTCCACTTCCAAATAGCAACTTACTGAGAATCTTGAGGTTCACATTGTGCCATCAAACCTGTGCAAGTTCTCATGTGAACAGTTACATTTGTTTTGAGTGAACCTTTTTCTAATGAATCTACAAAAAAAGCTTCCAACCCGTGTGAATCTTCATGTGATGACTTAAACTGGATCTATACACAAAACATTTTCCTCACTTTTCACTAAGGGTGCAGACATGACATGGTGAGCTGGTCTAATAGTCAAACCTCACAGCGGAGAACAGAACAGTGGCTGAGGTCAATAACGTTGAGGAATCAGATCAGCTTCACATGCATGTATCTGCTGCTCACCAATGTCCCAAAATTAAGGAAATTAACATTTATGAATCAGCCAGCTGATAAATCAATGCACAGCTACTTCTCACCAGTGTGAATTCTGTTGTGAGATGTTAAGTGCTGTTTTTGACTGAAACTTTTTTCACAAATCCCACATGAGAAAGGCTTCTCACCAGTGTGAATTCTCCTGTGACGTTCTAAACTTTTTTTATAAGGGAAACTTTTCCCACAAATCACACATGAGAAAGGCTTCTCACCTGTGTGAATTCTGTTGTGAGAAGTTAAGTGTTGTTTTTGACTGAAACCCTTTTCACAAATCCCACATGAGAAAGGCTTCTCACCTGTATGAGTTACCATGTGAGCAGTTAAGCTGGTTTTATGAGTGAAACTTTTTCTACAAATCTCGCATGAGAAAGGTTTCTCACCTGTGTGAGATCTCATGTGTTGAACTAAATGAGATCTAGTCAAACAATTTCTTCCACAAGTGCCACAATTGAGAACCTTCTCACCCGTGTGACATCTCATGTGAACAGTTAAGCTTTCCTTTCGAGTGAAACTTTTTCCACAGTTCTCACATGAGAAAGGTTTCTCACCTGTGTGAGATCTCATGTGTTGAACTAAATGAGATCTAGTCAAACAATTTCTTCCACAAGTGCCACAATTGAGAACCTTCTCACCCGTGTGACATCTCATGTGAACAGTTTAAACTTTGCTTTCGAGTGAAACTTTTCCCACAGGTCTCACAAGAGAAAGATTTCTCACCTGTATGAATCTCAATATGAGCAAGTAAATGAGATTTAAACAAAAAACTTTTCCCACAGGTTGTGCAGGTGTAAGGTTTCTCACCCGAGTGAATTCTCTTGTGTCTGTTTTAAAGAGTCGTTTAGACGGAAACGTTTTCCACAAGCTGGACAAGTGAATGGTTTTTTAGCCATGTGAGTTTTCTTGTGATTCATCAAGGAATTATTTCGAGAAAAGGTTTCATCACAAATTTTACAAGAATATAGATTTTGGTCTGGTTGAGCTTTCATGTGCGTTTCTTGTTCTGAAGTCTCTGTTGAGTTTTTCTGCTGTTTGTTCAAAATGTCATCAGTTTCCTGTTTTCAGCACAAGATGCTCTTCATCCTGACTGATGGAAAGTTGCTCCTCTTCCTCTTTGATCTGCAGAGGTTCTGGTTCCTCTTGATCCAGTTTCATCTGCAGAGGTTCTGGTTCCTCTTGTTCCAGTTTCATCTGCAGAGGTTCTGGTTCCTCTTGTTCTAGTTTCATCTGCAGAGGTTCTGGTTCCTCTTGATCCCATTTTATCTGCAGAGGTTCTGGTTCCTCTTGTTCCAGTTTCATCTGCAGAGGTTCTGGTTCCTCTTGTTCTAGTTTCATCTGCAGAGGTTCTGGTTCCTCTTGTTCCGTTTTATCTGCAGAGGTTCTGGTTCCTCTTGTTCTAGTTTCATCTGCAGAGGTTCTGGTTCCTCTTGTTCCCGTTTCATCTGCAGAGGTTCTGGTTCCTTTGTTCCAGTTTTATCTGCAGAGGTTCTGGTTCCTCTTGATCCACTTTCATCTGCAGAGGATCTGGTTCTTCTTGATCCAGTTTCATCTGCAGAGGTTCTGGTTCCTCTTGGTCCAGTTTCATCTGCAGAGGATCTGGTTCTTCTTGATCCAGTTTCATCTGCAGAGGTTCTGGTTCCTCTTGTTCCAGTTTTATCTGCAGAGGTTCTGGATGATCTTGATCTGAAGTGAAGTTTCTCTCCGGGTTTCTGAGCTCATTTAGATCCTCCTCCTCTTTGCACACACTGCATTGTGGGAAATCTGGACAAAAAAGTCAAAATGTGAGGTCACACAATGAACCCTTCAGTTTAATTAACTAAAACTAAAATGAAAATATTCTTCATCAGGGGGCGTGCTGTAGTAGCGCAACCCACGATTGGAGGCCTTCAATCCTCCACACGGCCGTCACGGGTTTGATTTCCGGACCAGACGATATTTGCCGCATGTCTTTCCTTACTACATTCCTGTCAGCCTTCTTTCTTATAAGGGACACTAGAGCCCACAGAAACCCCCAGGAGAGGAAAATGTAATTCTCAGCAAAACATTACAAAATGAAATCTCTTCCATCGTCTTTCAGAGAGATTGTTATTTACCTTATTTAGAATAAACAATGTCTGCATGTGGTTAATAATTTTACCAGCAATTAAACTTTAGTGCCGTCAAATGTGCCAACATTTGGAATATGCAGTCTGGCTAGCTGACGTTAACTCCCCTTCAAGATTCGCTTCTCACCAACAGGGACGTTACACCATATTCTGTGACCACTGCACATTGTGACTGTAGGAGGCGCTGTTGCAGGTTTACATCATACTTTGCTATTCTTATGGACACAGAATGTGATGGCGCTTATCAAATAATGGTCCCACACTGTAACTTACAGTAAAGTACTAAATATTTAAACTGAACCATCTCTATTAACTCTGCTTGCTAAGTCAATATCTGACCATTAGTCTTATGACATTTCTTTTTAGTTAAATGAAACGGCCCTTTAAATAGCTTTACATAGTGTTATAGTCAAGACCATCTAAGCAGAGACCAAGACCAGCCACCACATGACAATAAAATGTGAAATATTAGCAAAAGTGCTAATCAAATTGGTCTGAAAGATCCACATTCCCATAAAAGCAAATCAATTTAACCAATATTAGCAATTCAAACTCTTTGTTCTATTTTGCTCTGTGCTACAATCCATGGAAGTCTCATGCCAACCCTAAAAGATAACACCCTGGGCGGTTGCCCATATTGCTCATATCAGAAACCACCACTGTCTGCACTATTAAACATAGCAATTAAGGCAATGCACTAGTGGTAAACAACGCTCCATCATGAACACAGACCAAGGAGCAACAAGCAGAAATAACCAAACACTGTGACAGTTCTCACTTTTTCTCCTGCTACATGAAGCCAGGCAGCACAGAACTATCACAGAGCAATGAGCTGCTCTGTGTGCTCTGGTTTTATTGATTCACCAATTAAATTAATATCAATGTATACAATCAATTAAAATAATGACAGCTACTGCAGCTGTTTCATACCTATCCGCTGCAAGATGATCTTGGGTATCCGGGTAAAATCCATCAGTGCGCTGATCGTCCATCTCTTCCTCCATCTTAACGTTGATTTCTTTCCACTCTGTGAATGTTTCTTCAGCAGAGTTTCCTGCTGCTTGATAAACTCTCTGAGGCTGAACTGAAGACATTTTTTCCATTAAACACAGAAACATTTAACTAAACTGCAAAACAGTCTTCAAGAGGAAAAGTAAAGCCAGACATTTGCTCTGTTTTTATGTTTCATGTGTTTCACTGTTGCTGTGCTGAGAACCTGGAAGTGATTATTAGTTTGGCTTTAAATTTTCTGCTGAGTCTCTTCTTTTAAAGTCCTGGAGGGCTGATGCCTGAAAACCTTTAGCTGAGCCTCTGCTGCACCACCTGAATGAGTAATTAGGTCATTAAGGCTCTGCAGATCTGATCCACACAAGGAGGAGGTAATTATGGTGATTTCATGCAGTGTTTTGTACCTGTGGCTCATCTAAACACTGCAGGTCACCTTGAGGACTGGAGTTTGACACCTGTGGTTTAGTTACAATAGATCAGTCTGGAGAAAACACTGATGATGTTTTGTTGTTCTTGCAATAACTAATAAAATCCTGATTCTGTGAAAGTCACATATATATTTTCTATTTTCATAAAGATATTTCAGATAAGTATGAAGTTAACCAGGATGCTTTTATTGTTCTGTTGGTTTAAATTTAAAGCCTTTAGTTAATATTTAGAGGTAGATTTATTTAACTTCCTAATTTACTTTAATAAATTGCTGCACTTTTAGCTGCTTCAATCTGCCAGGTTTCTGCAACCTGGATCTCTGGAGACTCAAGAGGCTCTTGGCTCATTTATTATATGAAATTATAAAATATTGATCTGTCGTTTTGTTTCATTCTTTTTTAAGTGTCGTCATGAAACCGATCACATTGGCCCTTGTGGTAAATTTGGTCTCTAAACCAAACTCTTTATTGGTATCAATATTTTCAGAAATTCTCTTTAAAATACCAGAATATTCACATAACTGTTATACTTTGTCAGTCTGAGGAGACACTGAATATTGAATTAGGTGTTTGATCAGTTACTCAGTAATTCACCAAATACTTCAAAAGAAAATACAGAGGAAGAACATTGTTCCAGCAGGAATATTAAATAAATAGAATGATAAACCCCGACCTTTACTATTATATAAGATCAAAATATAGTTTATGTTCCATGACTCCTTCACTTCTAACTCACAGTTTAAGTACTGAAGGTTTGTTAAAATGATTAATTGTACTTGCTTTGAATTTTAAAGTTTTGATTATTTAGGTTCATTCTTTGTTAAATTATGGCTCATTTTGTTTTATCTCTTATTAGTATAAATATAGAACTCAGTCTGTTAAGTGTTGAATGAAAAGAATATCGACTTTATTAGAATGTATGCAACGTTGAGGAAGAGATGATCTCTGTGGACTGCTGCTGTTTATGTATATGAAGGTTTTCCTGATTTACTTTTTGTTTTAAACAGGTTTTATTCCAGCCTCTATAATTATGTAAATCTAGTCTTTCACACAGTTTTCCACTAAACAGAAAAAAAGAAAAGGATCATCATTATAATAGTTTATTTTCTAAAATTATATAAATAGTTTCAATCTGAAATTCAATTCATATCATCAATACATTTTCTAAGCAGGAAATTATTAAAACCATGTCAAAGAAATGCATCCATTTCTCCAAATCATTGAAATAAAATAAATAAGTACAAAGAATAAAAACACAATAAAGTTTCCAACATTTTAGAAGTCTAACTCTAAAATCCTTTAAAGTCATCGTTTTTAGAGACAATCTCTCCCTCAGTCTGATTAAATAAAATAGAAATATAAAACTGCCAGAATAAAATCCAAGTCGGTTGCAATTACTCCACTTCCAAACAGCAACTTACTGAGAATCTTGAGGTTCACATTGTGCCATCAAACCTGTGCAAGTTCTCATGTGAACAGTTACATTTGTTTTGAGTGAACCTTTTTCTAATGAATCTACAAAATAAAAGCTTCCAACCCGTGTGAATCTTCATGTGATGACTTAAACTGGATCTATACACAAAACATTTTCTCACTTTTCACTAAGGGTGCAGACTGACATGGTGAGCTGGTCTAATAGTCAAACCTCACAGCGGAGAACAGAACAGTGGCTGAGGTCAATAACGTTGAGGAATCAGATCAGCTTCACATGCATGTATCTGCTGCTCACCAATGTCCCAAAATTAAGGAAATTAACATTTATGAATCAGCCAGCTGATAAATCAATGCACAGCTACTTCTCACCAGTGTGAATTCTGTTGTGAGATGTTAAGTGCTGTTTTTGACTGAAACTTTTTTCACAAATCCCACATGAGAAAGGCTTCTCACCAGTGTGAATTCTCCTGTGACGTTCTAAACTTTTTTTATAAGGGAAACTTTTCCCACAAATCACACATGAGAAAGGCTTCTCACCTGTGTGAATTCTGTTGTGAGAAGTTAAGTGTTGTTTTTGACTGAAACCCTTTTCACAAATCCCACATGAGAAAGGCTTCTCACCTGTATGAGTTACCATGTGAGCAGTTAAGCTGGTTTTATGAGTGAAACTTTTTCTACAAATCTCGCATGAGAAAGGTTTCTCACCTGTGTGAGATCTCATGTGTTGAACTAAATGAGATCTAGTCAAACAATTTCTTCCACAAGTGCCACAATTGAGAACCTTCTCACCCGTGTGACATCTCATGTGAACA